TCTCCTTGTCCCCTTCCTTCTGGAAACACCCTTCTTTGGTCTTTGAAGGAAGAAATTACGAAAAATGGCAAGCCTGCAGCAGAGGAAACAGCAGGGACTTTGAAGCCAAGCAAATCCGAGCTTGGATGTAATTGCCTTAAGTGTGTTTTCAATCCAGACGGCATGGATGAGAGGAAGAACAGCTGCACAGGGAATGGGGGAAGGGAGTGCTAGAAACAAGTGCTATCAAATACAGAGAAAAGGTACCTGCCCATGGCATTGTTTGCTTTCTTCAGTATTGCTAAAAGCATCTAAAAAAAACTATATTAATTCTTACAGTTTTATCCCTAAACACAAACATGTCCATCACATGCTCATTGTGAAAGACTTGTTGTTTTTCAGTCTCTAAGTCATGTCCAACTCTTTGCAGCCCCAGGGACTGCAGCATGCCAGACTCCCTGGTCCTTCATTTCCTGGAGTCTGCTCAAACTCATGTCCATGGAATCAATGATATTATCTAACCATCTCATCCTCTGCCACTGTCTTCTCCTTTTGCCTTCAGTCTTTCCCAGTGTCAGGGTCTTTTTCAATGAGTTGGTTCTTTGCATCAGGTGGCCAAAGTATTGGAGTTTCAGCTTCAGCAACAGTCCTTCCAATGAATATTCAGGGTTGATTTCCTTTAGGATTGACTGGTTTGATCTCCTTGTTATCCAAGGGACTCTCAAGAGTCTTCTCCAGCACCACAATTAAAAAGCATCAAATCTTCAGTGCTCAGCCCTCTTTATGGTCCAATTCTCACATTTGTACATGACTACTGGGAAAATCATAGCTTTGATTATCTGGACCTTTGTCTACAAAGTGATGTCTCTGCTTTTTAAGCAAGTAAAACGCTTCAAAAGAATGAAAGTGAAATTCTGCCAGCCTTCTACTCCTAAGAGATAACAACTGTTAGCCATATGCTGTATGTTCTTCTAATAAATTCTTGATGCTTTATAACTTTAAAATTATGTAGTATTTGATATAAACAAAATATTAATAATCACTGTGATAGGTTGAATAATGTCGCCCTAAAGATATCCATGCTCCAATCCTTGCAGTCTGTGAATATGACCTTTTATGGCAAAAATGAACTTTGCAGATATGATTAAATTAAGGTTCTGGAGATACAAGATTACCCTGGATTATCTGCATCTGTGTATGCATACTAAGTCACATCAGTCATGTCCAACTCTTTGTGACCCTATGGACTGTAGCCCACCAAACTCCTCTGCCCATGGGATTCTCCAGGCAAGAGTACTGGAGTGGGTTGCCATGCCTTCCTCCAGGGGATATTCCTGACGCAGGGATCAAACCCATGTCTCCTATGTCTCCTACATTGGCAGGTGGATTTTTTTTTACCATTAGTGCCAATTATCCGTGAGGTCCCTAAAGGCAATCATGTTTTCCTGATGGCTTAGTGGTTAAAGAATTCAACTTCCAATATAGGAGCTGTTCGATCCCTGGGTTGGGAAGATCCCCCTGGGAAATCCATGGACAGAGAAGCCTGGCAGGCTAGTCCATTGGGTTGCAAAGAGTCAGAAATGATTGAGCAAGGAAACAACAACAAAAGGCAATCACAAGTATCTTTATACAGAGAGGCAGGAGATTTAACACACATAGAAGAGAAGGCCATGTGACCACAGAGGAAGAGTTCGGAGAAGGAGGTCACCAATGAGCGTGGATTCTCCCCAAGATCCTTCAGAGGGAGTGCAGCCTTGCTAATGCCTTGATTTCAGCCTCATCAGCATCCTTAGTAGAAGCAGGCTTTGGGGAGAAAACGCCTTTGGGACTGAATCTATAACACTTGAAGACACAAAGACTTGCGTGTGTGTGTGTGTGTGTAAAACATTATGTTCTTTTGCTTTCCAGAAGAGTTGCATATTCACTCTCCCAAGCCAGCTAACTTTGGTTCAAGAGCTTACATGGTGGCTCAGATGGTGAAGAATCTGCCTACAATGCAAGAGACTGGAGTTTGATCCCTGGATTGGGAAGATCCCTGCAGGAGGGCACGATAACCCACTCCAGTATCCTTGCCTGGAGAATCCCATGGACAGAGGAGCCTGGTGGGCTACAGTCCATGAGGTCACAAAAGAGTCAAACATGACTGAAATGATTTAGCACCAGGCTCACCAATTTCTAGAATATTTAACTTCTTAAAACTACTCAATTCTCCACAGCAAAGTACATTAAGTCATAATTAATCCTGGGTGGCACAACTAAGATAATAATGTACTTATCCAGAAATTCATTCAAGAGTTTTAAGAGTTGTATTTTTCTTTGATTCTTTTTAGGCTAGTTTGGGCTACAGAAAACACAGCCAGTAAAATCATAACTTCTTATGGATAAGGGTCAGGAGCATAGAATTCTTAACGTTTATAGGAAAACCAGGTAGGTCTGTGTCCACTGACTTCCTCACCTCCAGGGGGACCACTGGTTAGGTACTGGCTGTGGTAAGGGGTACTACACATCTCAGAAAATCCCCCTAGAGGAATTTTATCAAGCTGGCAAGTCAGAAAACTTCCTCTGGCAATAGTCTCTCCTCCACATCTTTATCTGGGCTGATCCCTTTTCCCAGGTATAGATCTCCCAGTTTTAGGATATGCGGATTATTTGAACAGAGACAGATGAGGGTGAAATGCAATTCACAGAACTGTCTTCTTGTTTGAACTTTAGGCAAAGTGAAGTGAAGTGAACTGAAAGTCACTCAGTTGTATCTGACTCTTTGTGACCCCATGGACTATACAGTCCATGGAATTCTCCAGGCCAGAATACTAGAGTGGGTAGCCTTTCCATTCTCCAGGGGATCTTCCCAACCCAGGGATCAAACCAGGTCTCCCACATTGCAGGCAGATTCTTTACCAGTTGAGCCACAAAGGGGAATAAAAAAAGAGTCGAGCTGCCAATATTTTCTTTTGGCAGGGTTTTGTTTGTTTGTTTGACTGTTTGGGGCAAGCTGAATTGAGAATTTTGATCAAGACAATGGGCCAGGCTCTAACTCTAATCAAAATAAATCTTTTCCAAGCATTTACTGGTTACAAAGCAGTAGGAGAGCCATCTGAAGTTGTTGAAGACATGAGTTTACATGGAAGTTACCCAGAGTGGACAAAAGAGCTGCTTTAGGAGAGAGACATATCTGTGAACTTATCTTTTGGTCATGATAGAGATGGAACTTGGAACTAGAGGCTGAAGGGTACAGACGTTTCAGATAGGAGGACAATGTGAAGGACAGAATCCTGATAGATAGGATGTGGGTAAATGGAGTGTGGCCAAGTGATGGTCAGACCCCTCTGATTTGAACTGAGACTTGTTTCAAAGTGAAAAAAGGAGTGAGAATGGGAAAAGGAAAAGGCTATAGAGGGCCAAGTTGTGGAGTGCCTTGGATGCCAGACAAATGAGTTTGGACATGATTCTTGGAATGTCAAGGCCTACTGAAGGGCCCTGGATCAGCAGAGCAACATCAGAGAATGGTACTTTAGGAAGATTAATTTGGTACTGATGTGCAGAACAGATCAGAGTGGGTAAAACTGGTGGCAGAGAGGCAAGTGATGAGCTTATTATGACCATGATATAATGAAGGTGGCACAAGAGAAATGAAACTGAAGGAGACTGAGGAAAAAAAGGAGTGATGAGATGTGGAGAGCAGCTGAACTAAGGGAAAAATAAAAACAGAGGTTTTGACTCGGGCTGGTGGGAGTTCTCTCAATTGAATGAGAATTGGGAACAGAGGCAGGGAAGACTATGGGGGAAAGGATGAACTATTTCAAAGAAGTTGGCTTCCACTTAGAAATGTTCAGCAGACAGTTGGACATATGGGACTGAATTAGGGTCAGAAGCCAGGGCTGGAACTAATGGCGTGAGACTCATCAGAACACCAGTAATACTAAAGCCGTGAAATTGACCGGCATCTTTGGGACAGAACACAAAGCTCATAGAGACAGAGAGAGCCCTGAGTGATGCCCTCTGTGTTGGGGTGGCGGTGGGGGGAGACACTGGGGAAGGATCTAGTGAGGGAGACAAAGAAGTGCTCAGAGAGGCAAGCAACATGTTTGGAAAATGTCACAGACTTCTAGGAAATAGAACTTAAAGGAAGGAGAGGTCTTGGTGATTTTATAATTATATCTCTGCACTATGTACCTTGAACTTGAGAAATAGCTTGCTTTAATGTTTGAATTAGGGACTTTGTGCTCAATTACAACCCTACCCTGGATTTTCTTCATCACGTTAATCATTTCCTTCCTGACTTCCTTCTCGAGCGGAGCAATGTGCTTTGTGAAGCTAATTTAGCTTCAGAGATCAATGTCAGTTGATCTTTTTTTTCCTAATGGCACAATAAGAAGGTACCAGGTCATACTGTCAACAAATATTTGCCAAGCAACCTCCTAAGGGAAAAACCTCACATTAGAGTCTGAACAAACATCTTATTCACTTATATTCTCTATTTGAATGAAAAGGGTAAGCATTACAAATGTTTAAGTAAATCAAATGCAGGCTGGGGTAAAAAAAGCCTTAAATCTAACATATGGAGTTAATGGTGCCACGTTGATTGTTTTTATAAGCACAAGAGCCTTTTAAAGCTGAGCACTCTGGTTATGCCCATTAGGTTACATGGTCCCCTCAGACTTTGTTGTATGACAGCTGGTCCCTTACTGCCTTAGAGGCTAAGGAGAAATACCACGTGTGCCATTTGCTTTGTCTCAGTGTTTCTAAAAGGTTCCCATTCCGCTTGCTCTCTCTTTTAGTGGTAATATTCTTCAAGGTTCTCAAATATTGAAGGTCTGGTGTAAATAGATTTTCTTTCAACTTTTAAACAAGTCAGACCCATTACTCAAAGTGGAAGGGAATATACAGTTAAGACTTGGACACTGGCGTTACTCTTGTAAAGTTTTTAAAGGTTCCTGTTGCCTAGGCGACTGAGTTTTTGACACAAAGTATATGCATTGTGGCTAAAGACTAGGACAAAACCAGTATCAGAACACTGAGAGTGTCAGGCGCATACTAATGGCAGAGACCCAGGGTGAAGCTTTTTAATGGCAAGGCAGATATGTTACTTTAACAAAAACCCCGTATCAAGGATCAACGGCCTCTAGCATCATGTAAAAGAAAAAAAATCTACATTGAATAAAGGCTTAAAGAAAAAGATTGCCAAATCAGAAGAAAAAAATATCCTAGAACAAGTGTATAACTTTGAGCAGAAGAGATAGTTGACACTTTAAATAGGAGAAATCTAAAAGCCACAATGGAGGAAAAATTGAAGGTAGGTTTGAATTTATAAGCATTAAAATTATGCATATTGTTTTTTGCCTTACAGAAAAAGTTGAAAGACAAATGAAAATCAGTTAAAAAAAAACAACATGTGTTATTTATAGGTTACAAAGGATTAATATCCCTAATACATGAGACTCTTGGAAATTGATGCCAAAAAGGAAAAAGAAAAAGAAGCAATAGAAAAATGAGCCAAGGACACATATCCAGTGATATTTTCACTCACATACTGCATGTATTTAAAATGTAGACAAAGTGTGTGTTTCTATCTGAATACTGAAGCCAAGGCTCATCTCCTCCAACATGACCTTCTCACATTCGCATTCATTGCCTGCCCGCAGAGCCTCTTGGCATTTGGGCCCAATTCCTCCCGTGTTGTGTTGCCTTTAGGAAACCTCACCTACCTTCTAAATCACATCTGAATTTTCCTTTTGACATTTCCCTCCAACTTCTCCTTTTAACTCTGCAGCCACAGTAACTCAATTGCCTCTCGAGGCCAAGAGGGAATATTCAGAAAGCTCTATATGCAAAGCAAAGGGCTCCCCACATTTCATGATTTCAGGTGTGTCCTACAATGGAAGGACCATGGCCAGTTTCAGAGTTTGGAAACTGAGACACAGACATGAAGAACAGCCTTGTGGGCATGGGCGTGGGGCGGAGAGAGGGTGGAATGAACTGAGAGAGCAGCACTAACATACACACAGTACCGTGGGTAAAACAGATAGTGGGAAGCTTAGTACAGGTTGCTCAGCTCAGCGCTCTGTGATGACCTGGGGGGTGAGACGCAGAGGAGGGATGGAAGGGAGGCTCTAGAGGGGGGGGGATTTATGTATGTTCTGTGCTGTGCTGAGTCGCTCAGTCGTGTCTGACTCTTTGCAACCCCATGGACTGTAGCCTGCCAGCCTCCTCCGTCTATGAGGCTTCTCCAGGTAAGAATGCTGGAGTGGGGTGCCATACTTACACCTGATTCAGGCTTCCCAGGCAGCTCAGTGGTAAAGAATCTGCTGCTAATGCAACAGACGCAGAAGACACAGGTTCAATCCCTGGGATCAGGAAGATTCTCTGGGAGAAGGAAATGGCGACCCACTCCACAATTCTTGCCTGGGAGATCCCATGGACAGAGGAGCCTGGCAGGCTACAGTCCACGAAGTCGCCAAAGAGTTGGATGCGACTCTGCAACTAAACGACAGCAAAGAGCTGATTCACATTGTTGTAGAGCAGAGACTAACACAATACTGTAAAGCGGTTATACTCCAATAAAGAAAGTAAATAGTTGCCTGATAAAGCCTAAAAACAAAAAATTTAAATAAAAGGAAACTGAGTTTAGGAAAGGCACAGCATGTACCCCTGGCTCCTTTCTCCCTAGATGAGAGCACGTCTCTCACCAGCTCTCCTCTGATACAATCACCACTCCCAGTAAACTCACCCTTCAAAGCCCCGCCATACACCACATGGCGGTGGCTGTGTATGGTCTTATACTCAACCCCCAAGTTTTAGCTGTCAGTCCCCTCTGAACTGTCTGTACTGCTTTTCCCTTGTAACTTTAACCGTATTTGTAATTAACACTTGTCACGACAACCGGAGTGTAAACTCAGCAAAAGGAAAGATACACCTGCTTTGTGGGATGCTCAGCACAGTAGCAGGTACAGAGCCGATAATCAAAAAATATTTGCTGAATGAATAAATGAAAATCATAGCATCTTGTCTATTTACATTATATCTGTTGTGAGCACCTGTAATAATTGTTGTTTGTTCACTTGTGCATTGCCCACTTACTCATGAACATATGGGCTTCACCAGAATCAGGGCTTTGCCTGCCTTGTTTGTAGCCGCTGATACTCCTAATATCTGGAACAACTTGGGATATGAAAGTGAAAGTTTTACTTTCTCAGTCATATCCGACTCCATGGACTGTAGCCTGCCAGGCTCCTCTGTCCATGGAACATTCCAGGCAAGAATACTGGAGTGGGTAGCCACTTCCTTCTCCAAGGAATCTTCCTGACCCAGGAATTGAACCTGGGTCTNCTGGAAAAGTCCATGGACAGAGGAGCCTGGCGGGCTGCAGTCCATGGGGTTACGTGACTGAGCATGTGTGCACGAGGGTGGAGGGAGATGGGTTGGTAGCAATAAACTGGTAGAACTTAAAAAAAAAAAAAAGAAGAAGAAGTTATTTTCTTGTAGTGGTGAGGTTGAGGTTACTGGTTAGGGAGCCAATCGAGCGTCCACAGATCATAGGTGATGTGTACCCCAAAAGTGAGAACTTCAAAGTACTAAAAAGTTAGATAAAAATTAAGGATGAGGGCTTTTATCAGGCGGCAGTGTAGTGGTAAAAATATTTATGCAGACACTTTTCTCCCAATCCATGCCCCACAGAGGCAAGAATAAAATAGTCTTTAATCTTCTTCGGGCAAGTCAGAAGACATTCAACTTGGTCTGGGTTTTGATGATCACTGTTATGGCAGCTTTATGGTGTGGGAAATTGCTAGCAAATATTTTTCCTGAATTTCTTCTCAAAGTATAATGGGTGAGCTCAGGCAGGGAAAAATATATGTCCTGGGGGATATATGTAAAAATATAATGGATTCCCCCTCCAGTCACTTCAAATACCTTTGGCTGACCCATTGTATTAACATTTAAATACAAATCTAAATATGGATTTAAACGGACTGTGGGGTTGAGACCACTGCAGAATTTCTATTTGAAAACTCATCTACTTAAACACACATATCAGCATGATGCTGGCTGTTTCTGGTATTATCCTAAACTGAAAAGCCTTAAGCCCTCCTTCTGTGTTTCAGTCTTTCCAGTATCTACATGACACACAGCTTGCGCCAGTTAATGCTTCATTGAATACCCAACAATCTCATTTTTGTTTAGAAATAATAATAATAATAAAAATGAACCTGCTTGTTTTATTTCTCAGTCATTAGTTTGGCACTGAGTGGTATCTTACTAAACTTACTGACTTCTGATTCTTCTTTGCAATGTTTCTAGAACAGTTTTGGCATAAGGCACCACAGAAGCCAACATCCTTGCTATAGGGTTGATTTTTTTTCTTTCTTTTTTTTTTTTTTGTGAGGTGGGAAGGGATGGGGGAGGGAATTTACACATGTTTAAAATTACTTTTTCTCTGAATATAAAAGTCACTCATGCTTCATGTAGAATCAGTAAATAGAGGGGAGGGAAGAAGAAAATCACTTACAATGCTTTCACTTGGTCATATAATCACAATATTTTGGCACAGTTCCCCCCAGGTACAGTTAACATAAGAAATCATAATTAAACCTGAGCTGTTAATTCAGTTCCATATCCTGTTTTCTCCCCATTTTATATTGCATCTCAAGAATTATTTGTAGATGTTTACAATGGGTACAAAAGACAGAACAGATACGCGGACATGGGGAGGGGAAGGAGGGTGGCGTGAACTGTGAGAGTAGCATTGACATATACACACAAACAGTCGGGGGGAAGCTGCTATGTAGCACAGTGAGCCCAGCCAGGTGCCCTGTGATGACCTACAGAAGCGGGAAGGAGGCCCGAGAGGGAGGGTGTGTATGTACACATGCGGGTGATTCACTTTGTTGCACAGCAGAAATGAACAACACTATAAAGCAATTATACTCCAATTTAAAAAATTCCATCATGTGCACTATAATAAGCCTTTCTCTCATTGTTGAGCGTATAGGTAGCTTCCTTGTTGTCACTGTTTAGTCACCAAGTCGTGTCCGACTCTGCGACACCATGGACTGCAGCCCGCCAAGCTCCTCTGTTTGTGGGATTTTCCAGGCAAGGATATTGGAGTGGGTTGCCATTTCCTCCTCCAGGGAATATTCCTGACCCAGGGATCGATTCTCCATTTCCTGCACTGACAGGCGGATTCTTTACCACTGAGTCACCTGGGAAGCCCCAGGTAGCTTCCTAGGTTTTGGTAAAGTTAATTGGTGAGGAACATCTTTCCATACACGAAATCTTTGCCCATATTTCAGAAAATCCCCTTAAGAAGTCTTCCTATAAATGAAACCCTGGAGAACACCAATGTTGCAATTGAGTAAATGAATTGAGTTTACATGTGCTAGGCTCTGTTTTAAGCACTTTGCATAGATAAGATAATTCAGTATCAGTTCAATTCTGCAGATGGGAAAACTGAGACACAGAGAGGTTAAGTAACTCCTTCTAAGCTCACCTAGCTAGAAAGCGGAGAAGCTGGGCTATGAACCTAGGCAGTCTGAGGATGAGGCTGGTTCTTCTATCCTTTACTCTGTACAGACTCTCTAATCACTTATGTAAACATGATCTTAACAGGTCACAAACTCTTAACTAGTCAGGAAGGAACTGACCTCCTAATTTAACCCTCAGACATTACAGAAAGCAAGGCTCTGGAAGATTAAGTAACTTATTAAAGTCACATAGACAGCTACCAGCAGATCTAGAACTTATATCTCCTGACTCCTCATTCTGTGGTCCAAAAACTTGCTCTGCAAAGCATGGCCTGGAAACCATAGCATCAGCCTTGCCTGAAAGTTAGCTACAAAGGCAGTCTCAGGCCCTACCCCAGCCCTCAAGAAAATTCACTTTGTTAACGAGATCTCCTGGTGATCTGTTTTCAACACTAGACTTTCAGAAGTCTGGCAATACATCTGTAAACTTGATAGATCTTGCTTCAAGGAAAATCTGGGTATAAGTTGCTAGTATTTTCATAGCATGAAAACAAAATCCTCATTTTTCAGTTAGTTAAAGATCCGATGGTAAAGAATCTGCCTGCAGTGCAGGAGACACGGGTTCACCTCCTGGGTTGGGAAGATCCCTGGAGAAGGGAATGGGAACTACTTCAGTTTTCTTGCCCAGCGAATTCCGGGAAGCAGCCTGTGGGGGCTACAGTCTGATGGGTTGCAAAGAGTCGGACATGGCTGAGCGCCTGATGTTTTCACTTCAAAGCTTATATTAGGTTGAACCATATGAAATTGCTCTTAGTTTTGATAATATATCTAATAACAATAAATCCTACAGGTATCTGTGCTCTGTGTAGACTGCACTTGAGGAAGAACAACAAGATTCTTTCCCTCCAGAGTGTACACAGTTAGGAAGAATGAACAATTAAACAGACAATTATAATTCAAAATGGTAAGTGCTACCAAAGAGCATTCTGAGAGCTCAGGAGGAAGTTAAGTGATGTCCTGAAAGATAAATGCTATGAAAGAAAGCAATTATTTCCTTTTGTTAGTGACAAGAAAGACTGTCTTGCAAGCTTTAGCTAAATTATTAAGTGGGTATCCCCATAAGTTGTCAGATTCTGATAAAACAAATAGGTGAAGAATATAAATATAAGAATATTTACAAAATACAGATGATGTTAATTACTGCTTAAACTGTGAAAGCAAGATGCTTGTGTTGTTCTTAACGATGATAGTAGGTAAAGAAAGTTACAGGTCTTATGGCTTAGGGTGTGCTATTCTCATGGGTTCCAATTTGGCCATTTCTATTTTTTGAAGTTAATGGATATTTTTAGTTGGGTGAAATGAACTGGCTGCCCAAATATTCTTTGGAGTAATTAATACTTGAAAGATACAATATGCTCACCAGAAGTGGTGCATAACTTTTAAATAAATTGTACAGTACATGTCAGAATACAAAACCTTTGTTAAATACGTACCATAAATTCTTTCTGTTCTCAGTAAGTCACTCCTTTAAGTATCTGTAATTGGCTTTTACACAAATGAGCCTGGGTCATCATGTTGATTTTGCATTGTTCAGCTGGTTGGTTTAGAAGGCTTAATTTGGGGGGAGGGAATTAACTGAATGTTTGAATTGGCAATATTCCATTTTACCACTTCCTCTAACTTTTTCTTATTGATTGCTATCCTAGAAAGAACTTAGGTATCAATAGCTGGGTCCACGGTGCACTATTCAACCTGTAGTTAAGTACTCTCTATATAAGTTGTATTAAAGGAAAAACCAAACACTTTTTCACCTGCAAGAAGAAGCCAAGATGGTCGCAAGTCCTTTGGCATTTCAGATCATATGCTTTCTTGAGAAACTATGTATTAGTTTCAAAACTGCAGAGTAATTCTCCAACCTTTAATCCCACCCCCCTCCTTCTATTCTTGAGCTGGTTCTTCTCTCTCCCCCTTTCTCCCCACACAGCTCTTTACTTCAAGCCTTTCTAAGAAGCTAAACCTCTGTCACAGGGACCAGCTGACTTCACACAGGTTCCATCTGGATATTTACAGATTTTACTAAACTTGACTGCTGCCCTGGGAAGTGTGCTGAGCTCCAAGCAGAAAGTGCTGTACATCTCAGGATGCTTTGAACCACACAGCACTCTATTTGATCAATTCTATCTGTTAAATTTTTTATTGTGATCTTTTTTAAAGGAAGCCTGCCTCTGGTCTCCAGGGCCATTCTGTTTCTATGGTACTTGGAATTTATTATATATGGCAATCTAAGTAGGGGAATGGAATATAGGAAATACCAGCAGACATATTCTTATTGCATCAAGACACCCAAAGAGTTAGAAAAAGATGAGCTGAAGGGAAGAACATGGATAATAAAGTTCTGAGAGATCATGTGATGTACAAGCAGATAGCATGCGGGGGGGGGGGGGGGNACCAGGCATGACTTTCTTGATGTAAGAGAAGCCATTTTTGGCATTTTGTGATCTAAGCCAGGCTACAATGTTTGCCCTTGAGCAGGTCTCGGTAATTAGTGATCTTAAGGGAACAAAGCTTCCCTGGTGGCTCAGATGGTAGAGAATCTGCCTGCAATGCAGAAGACGCAAGTTTGATCCCTGGGTCAGGAAGATCCCCTGAAGGAGGGCATGGCAACTCACTCCAGTGTTCTTGCCTGGAGAATTCCGGGGACAGAGGAACCTAGTGGGCTATTGTCAAAATAACGCAGGAACAGATGGCTGTTATTAGGTAAGCAAAGTAACAATAGCAAAAATAACACATCAGTTGTAAAGATTGCCAGCTCAAACACGTTCTTGAACTGTTTTGCAGAATGTGACCCTGCTTGACCCCTCAACCACCAGCTCCATTGGAAACTAACAGATGATGATGCTGACCTTATCTGATCCTTGTGACTTCTTTCAACTAAAGCTTGGACTCTGTTAGTCTTTGCCCTAATTCTTGGCTGAATTCTCCTCTGCTCAGTTCCTTTTATGAATATGCATATACTGCCCAAACCCCTTCATGAATATGCATGAAACCTTCAGGCTTCCCTGCTAGATCAGATGGTAAAAGAACCTGTCTGCAATGCAGGAGACCCGGGTTCAATTCCTGGGTTGGGAAGATCCTCTGGAGAAGGGAATGGCTACCCACTGTAGTATTCTTTTTTTTTTGCGTTCAGTGGTTTCTGTTATTAATTGTAACACCTGCCATTTCACAGCCTGTGTGTCCGTCTCCAGACACAAAGTAAAGGAGGGGGGTCCCACAAAGCCACCGGAGTATTCTTGATTGGAGAATTCCTTAAACTGAGGAGCCTGGTGGGTTATAGTCCACGGGGCCGCAAAGAGCTGGACATTACTGAGTGACTAATACACCTACTCTTAGCTTGAAACTTCTCCAGTTTTGCTGTTTAGGGAGCTATTGCTTTGGGAAAGATCCCTTGTGCTCTTTCTACTTGCTGCAAGTAATAAATCCTTTCTTCTCCTGATCGTTGCTTGGTTGTGTCTTTTGACTCAACAACCCCCAAAAAGAGGTGAACCCAGTTTTGGGGTAATGGAAGTTCCTTGATTCATAAAATTATTCAGAGACTTTAGAGAAGATATTAAACTCAACGTGAATCGATGAGTAAGGAGCAATCTATAATCTCAAATGCATTCATATGTAATTCTTAAAACAGGGGTCCCCCACTTCTGGGATCTAATGCTTGGTGATCTGAGGTGATGCCGATGTAATAATAATAGAAATAAAGTGCACAATACATACAATGTGTTTCAATCATCCTGAAACTATCCCCTCTTCCACCCAGTACCAGTCCATGGAAAAACTGTCTTTCACAAAATCAGTCCCTGGTGCCAAAAAGTTGTGGACCACTGCCTTAGAGGATGGAACAGTAACAAGAAGGCAAGGATCACTTCTCTAAATTTGGTAAAAGGCAATGGTGAATACTCATGTTGACCTCTGGTGACCATTCTGATACTCGTAGGAAACAACAGCTTTGCCTCCAATCTCCCCCGCCACCTCACCCCAGGAGTCAGAATGCTTTTCAAAGCATTTTAGGAGGCTGTAAAACATCTGAGACCAAATCTGGGAGATTGTGTGAGTGATACCCAAGACACTGTGAGCAGGGAGGAATATCGCACCTCCCTGATAAGAGGCGGGATGCACCAAGGCACATACAGGTGGCCCCAAGCATTCTCACATTCCTCCTGCAGTCATAGGAGCCAAATGGTCTCTTTCTCACTACTCTGGTTGATGAAACCTAGTCTGGCAAAACTGCCAGCAGATGTCAGCACTCTGATTCCTGGTTTATTAGTTTCCTTCTTTGCCAACCTCTCTTCCTCCCTTCTGGAGAAGGCAATGGCACCCCACTCCAGTACTCTTGCCTGGGAAATCCCATGGATGGAGGAACCTGGTAGGCTGTGGTCCATGGGGTCGCTAAGAGTCGGACATGACTGAGCGACTTCACTTTCACACATTGGAGAAGGAAATGGCAACCCACTCCAGTGTTCTTGCCTGGAGAATGCCAGGGACAGGGGAGCCTGGTGGGCTGCCGTCTATGGGATCACACAGAGTTGGACACGACTGAAGCGACTTAGCAGCAGCTTCCTCCCTTCACTCATTTCCATTCATCTAAATTTTGACTGAATTTTATTGTTGTTAAGTCATGCTCAACTCTTGCTTCCCCATGGACTGAAGCCCCCCACACTCCTCTGTCCGTGGGATTTCCCAGGCAAGAACACTGGAATGGATTGCCTTTTCCTTCTCCAGGGGATCATCCTGACCCAGGGATTGAACCCCAGTCTCCTGCATTGGCAGGCAGATTCTCTACCACTGAGTCACCAGGGAAGTCCTTTACTGAAAATGCCAAACGTTATTTGGGGACTAAGAATACAGATAGAGATAAGATGTAGCACCTTACTTTTAATTTGCTTATAACTAAAAAGGAAAGACGAGATGTCCCTGTGGCACATGGGGATGGCTATAAATGACAGAGCCAGTCTCTGGAATCTCAGAGCGGAAAGCCATCCCAGATGGTTGCCAGGGAGCTCGTGCTGGAGGAACTGTGTCTGAAAGTCTCTTGGAGGGCAGGTGGGCAGGCATGGGGGTGGGAGGGCCCCCACCAGAAATATACCCCACCTAGACAAAGGTGTGGACGAAGAGAGGTGGTAGTGATGGAGATGGTTCACAGCTTTAAGATGAAATAGAGGTCTCTTGGCAGGGCAACAGCAAACAACAACTATTTCCTCAAAGGTTCATTTCTAGCCATGTCACCTGTGTGCTGGCTCTCCACATGGTTCTCTAGCTTATATCACCTCCCTACAACCCAGATTGCTAGGCTACCCCGCACCCCTCCCCCTCCCAAACCCCAGCCCAGAGTTCCTCACAGCGGTGGTGTTGGGGGCTGCACATTACTTTTCTATCAAGTTCCCAGGTGATGCTGATGCTGCTGGTCCAAGAACCATGATCCCTGCACAGGGACCAGTCAAACAGGCTCCCACCCCACTTTGCTGTCTCCCACGGGGCAATGTCTGCCCTCAGATATTAATGTGATTCCTGGTCTCATTCTTCTCATGATGCTCTCTATCCCTTCTCTCTGCTTCAACTATCTTCAAAACCCTTATCAGAACTTAACACTATGGTTTATGACTTTTCTGTCATCTCATGAGGATACAAAGTATTGGCCACCTGATGTGAAGAGCTAATGCATTGGAAAAGACCTTAATGCTGGAAAAGATTGATGGCAGGAGAAGAGGGTGGCAGAGGATGACTTGGTTAGATAGCATCACTGACTCAGTAGATATCAATTTGAGCAAACTTCTGGAGATAGTGGAGGACAGAGGAGCCTGGCCTGCTACAGTCTATGAGGTTGCAAAGAGTCGGACATGACTTAGCCAGTGAACAACAACAACATGAAGATATAAACGCCACGAGAGACTATTTCATTAACTCGTGTCTCAGGCAGTGCTGTATTCTGAGCACCTAAACTCCTGTATTCCTAGTACTTCAGACAGTGTTGGCACACAGTAGCACTCAGTAAATAGCACTGACTGAATGAATGAGACATTGTCTAGACGAGAGCCAGATAGAAGACCTTGTGTAGTTTGAGGTAGAAACAATGGAAGCGAAGATGACTCAAGATAGAAGCCACATTGCCTTGATCTTGAAGGGAAAAGATACATTTCTTTGCTCTTGTAAGTAAAAGGCTTGGGTTTTGGAGTGGGAAGTAGAGAGGTTAAGTAGACTGGGGACTTGAGGTAATTAGAGAGATTTTAGGGTAGCTGTTGTGGAGTGTGAACCACCTCAGCAAACTAGGCTCCTAGGGAAAAAGAGAAAGAAGAAATTCTCATTTGAGACAGAGGAACCAAGGCAGGCTGCATTTCTCTCTGGAATACTGATGTGGTTTTCCTATCAGATATCATATTAAGATGCTTCCCTCCCTGCCATTTGCAGTCTATTCCCTATTGCTCCAGACAGAAACCTGAACACTTAGTGAGAACTGGTCTCCCCCACATGTGTCCAAATTCTAGGTCCTGTAAGTCAATGGCTTAGAGTATTTTTTTTCTGGCAGCAAATTTCTAACTACTCCAAACACTGTGCTACACAGGCTTGTCTCAAATGTCTCAAACCTTCCATATGCTTAGTAAGTTTGATGCCAAATATATTGCTAACACATAATTGTACACACATTACATATGTTCCATGGAAACATGATTGACAGACTATAAATAGGACCCCAATCATCTCATGACAAGCTTTGTAACCTCATTACATTCACAAAAATCACCAAAAGGAACTTAGTAGAAACTTAGGTGATTTCATGTATTAGTCTGATAAGAAGTGGACCATCTAAAAGGTAGACGGGGAAGTGAAAGTGTGGCAAATGAGGTCCCAAGTGCAATGGCTACAGGATCTGTAAGTGCAAAAATAGACCAGGATTCTCACCTGGGGATAAGATGTGTGATCTTATGAAAGTTTCATCTTCCAGTGGTTAGTAATCTAAGGCTGAAATGCTATCCAAATAAATGATATGTGTGTTTAAAAAAATTAAAAAACAGGGCATGAAAGAGCAGGAAGAGGGTGGGTTGACCTAATATATTTGAATTTTCATTTTTTTTTTTCCAGTTTAGATTGTTGGATTAAAACCTAAGTACTCAAGATTCAGGGGTTACTGGTATCTCCTTTGACAATTCCTAACCTTACTTGGCTACACATTCCTAATACTGGAAAAGATTGAGGGAAGGAAGAGAAGGGGGCGGCAGGGGATGAGATGGTTGGATGGCATCATTGACTCAAT